TAACTTGGCAAGCCTAATTTTGCTCCATTTTGTTCCAGGCCCAAGAGTTTTTATTTATTATTTAATAAAATCAACTGTTTTCCCCCTAATTGCAAATAGTTCAATTACATATTTACAAAGTATTTTCAACAAATATTATTTTACAAATTAAATCTGACATCACTCTTCTTTCCATACCATACATCAACACACACACACACACACACACACACAGTTAGCAAAGGAAACTTCCAGGGAACTTAAACTCCATATCTAAAGGTGCTTTAAATACTTTTCAGATGAAGACTTTTGGTATGTTATGTTAGGACCAGCATTTCCTTTCAAAAAGGCTTAGTTGTCTAACATGTTAGTTGCTGAGAGCAAGCTTGCTCTCAGGCCTAGAAAAATAACAACTTTCAGTGAATTATGGATTCTAAAAACGAATGCTCATGAAAATGGATCTAAGCAGACCCAAACAAATATCAGCTACAGAGATCAGGTATCCGATCTGACATCTTTCTATACAGTAAAACCCAGTCTGGCAGGAAGAGATATGCTACTTAAGATTCACCAAGACTAACAATGATCTCTGAAGAGATAAAACATTCAAAACAAATTCCCTAGGCCAGTGTTTCTCAAGCTTGGCAACTTTAAGACACGTGGACTTCAACTCCCAGAATTTGTCAGTCAGCCATGCTAGCTGGTGAATTCTGGGAGTTGAATCCACACATCTTAAAGTTGCTAAGATTGAGAAACACTGCCCTAGGCTAATGGCATGCCACATACAGCCACTAATCAATGGCAAGGTAATATAAGAAAGTTAAGCTTTGACACTGCATTATGGCTAGACCTGAAAAACAGTTACTTGCTCCTTACATTTTAATAAAATCAATTAGTCACATTTACATACATTCACATGTATTATATTTATAATATAAAGGTTGTGGTCACACTCATGGGGCTAAGCCATAATGTGATTTGGTTCCAGCCTAGCATGTTATATGAACCTACCAGCTGTGGTTTATTCAATCACAGCTAAGCAAACTATGGCTTAGCATTTTTAAAAAATTGAGATCCAAAGCATTTCTGTTTGCTAGCCACCCTGAGCTTTGTATCTTCCATAATTCTTGGGCAACGTGGCTACTGATCGCAGACTGGGAAGGCTCTTGAAAGCCAAAACTACAATCAATGTTTTGAGTGATATTGTTTCAAAATAACTTGTAAAAACCTGTCCCAGAGCATACTACAGATACAGGTTCCATTTAAACCAGAAATATTCCTGTTGGGGATAATGGATGTTCAAATTGGAAAGCATCTTATCAGAATTACTCAATACATGATTACCGCAGCAAGACT